TGGGAGGGTGGAGGGACGGCGCAGGAGAGGAAGGCCCTCTATGAGGTGGATTGATTCAGTGACTGGGATAATTGGGATGGGAGTGTCAGAGAGAGTGCGATTGGCCCAGGACAGAGCGGAGTTTAGGGCTGTTGTACACAGGGTTGCTATGAGTCACAGGCGACTCGACGGCACATAACAACAACAACAACAGCAACATTTATATATTAAAACTGTTCAGGTGTTTTTAGATATGTTGTCTCTCTTGAGCAGCCTAACAATTACTGTGTTAGATAAGATATTATTGACTTGCAAAATTTAGGAAATTGAAGTTCAGAGTTTTTAAAGGATTTCTTCATGTATAAAGCCCATAAACAGAAGAGGTGGAATTTAGGGGTTTTCCCCCTTTCCATGGTAGACCTGCTTTTTACTGCCCTTAATCATTTATGAACTTATTTTGGACAATTTTCTAGGAGAGGTTATTCATTGAAGAGTAGCATCATTCTTGGAAAGGTGGAGGAACAGCAAAAGAGGGGCCCTCAAAAAGATAGATTGACACAGTGACTGCTGCAGTGGGCTCAAGTTTGTCAGAGATGATGAGGATGGCATGGGATAGGACAGGGGTCCAATCTCTTGTTCATAGGCTAACTCTGAGTCATACTTGATGGCTCTTAACAACAACCACAGCAGTGTCTTTTTTCCCCCATTATAGAAATTCTTATGCACTATTGAACATTTAGAAATTAAAGACAAAATGAAAAATCTGCAACCAGGAGGGAATAAAATAGATTAATAGAACCTTCTAAGAATCAAATCCCTATGCACATCAACAAACTTGTCCAATAGGGTATGACAGAAACCTCACCCCAGCAACAATAACAGAGTTAAACAGGACAGCAAATAACAAATGCTGGTGAGGTTGTGGAGAGCATGAAATGTATCTTCTGGTGGAATTATAAAATTGTGCAACCCCTATGGAAGGCAGTCTGGTGCTTTTTCAAAAAGTTGGAAATAGAAATACCATTTGACCCAGCAATTCCATTACTGGAAATATACCCCAAAGAAACCAGAGCCACAATTCAAATAGATGTATGTACACCCATATTTATTGTTGCATTATTTACAATAGCAAAGAGTTGGAAACATCCCAAGTGTCCATCAGCAAACAAATAGATAGAAAAACAATGACACATTCACAAAATGGAATATTACGCATTCATTCATTGATTTACCTTTTCCTTCTGCCCCCCCATTCACTTTGTAATGTATATCTTGCTCCACATTGTCAGTTGCCATACACAAAATATCTAGATGTCTTTTCCCTTTCTCGCATTTTATTGTTGTGCTCATTATCTGTCCTGTCTCTCCCTGCTCTCTCCTCCCCAATGTCCATCCTGTTTTTATAACAAGGGTTCTAATGCAGTGTCTGTCCTTTGGTGACTGAGATATTTCACTTAGTATAAAGGCTTCCAGACTCATCCATGTTGTGTAGTATTTTTTTACAAATTCATTGTTTTTGAATGGTGCATAATATTCCACTTGTCTTAAGTTTTGATGATCTCTTAGGGTTGAATTTTCAGAAGCAGGGTTTCTGCATCAAAAGGTTATGTATATTTTAAGAGTTTTGATTTATCAGCTTTATCTTTTGAAAATACTCTAACAAAGACAATTCCACAAGACAGTTCCACGTTGAAAGTGTGAGTATTCATATCTCTGTGTTGTTATTGTGTACCTTTCAGTTGAAACCAACTCATAGCTGACCCTCCAGGGGGTTTTCAGAGCCAGTTAACTGAATAGGAGGAGATTTCTCATCTTTCTCCTGTGGAGCAGCTGGTGGATTTGAACCACGTGTCTTCAGAATTGCAATGCAACTTCTTACCACTGTTGTGTACCACAGAGTTGGAACTGACCCATATCTGACCTCTAGTGGGTTTTCAGAGAGGAGATTGCTCATCCTTATCCCACAAAGCAGCTGCTGAGCTTGAATTGCATGCCTTAGGCATTACAGCACAGTTTCTTACCACTAGGCTACCAGAGCAAATATTGTTGTCTTTTTCTTTTAGTTCTGTCAGCTTGATAGTTATCACATTAATAGTCTAATTTTAACATCTGTGCTTGTTGCTTAAGTTGAATTTCTGCTGTTCATGATCATTTTAAGAAATGGGCAAAAGTATGTCTTATTGACCAGAAGTGTGTTAAACATTTGAACAATGCAGCAGTCTTTGTAGAGTGGGAATGATGAGTTTGGGAATACTTTTGCCCACACCTAACTTCACTGCTGATGGAATTTTTTGTGTGCTGTATGAGTTTCATTGAGGAGCTGAAAATGGATGGGAAGAAATATTTCCTAGTTTTATGACTCTTTTTCTTTCATGTAGGTTCTTAAAGGTGGACAGGAAGCACCCACAAAACCTAAAGGTCGTCCCAAAAAGAACTCCATCCCCACATCAGAAGAGATTGAAGCTGAAGAGAAAATGAACAGCCAAGCCCAGAGCCAGCAACACCCAGAGATTTCTCATCATGGTCAAGAGGGGTCCTGTGAGGGAGAGGAGCCAAGGTCAGCTCATGGCCCCTTAGAAGTGGCAGAGGCTCCAGGGCAGCCCCAGGAGTTGTCAGGAGCCTCTTTGGAATCCTCATCATCAAGTTAAAAGAAAATGTTTCTGGGGCAAAGGGGACATTGGGAAGAAGGGGTAAAAGGGAGAGGAAGCCTCCCAGAGACTGAAGCCTGGTAGACCATAGGTCCACCGTCTCCTGCCCTCCCTCCCACTATTCTCAGTGATGTTTTCAGCAGCACTTACTGGAGACTTGTCTTCAGCCTTTCTTGTACAGAGAGGTTGCTTTAGCCACAGGATGCCTTTGATGAGCGAAGACAGCTTGCTCTGCATGGGAGAGTCGGTCAGGCAGTTGGGTGTCCAGCATGGCTGGAATTCACTCCTCTGCCAGCTAGGGCATGGAGAGCTGTGGAAGCACGTGGGCAGCAGGCCCAGAGTCCATGCTGACACAGCACTTAATTCTGTAGTTTTCCAGGAGAATCTAATGTTTTGTGGTGTTTTGGTTTATTTTTTGGGGTTTTTTTTGGTGGGGTTTTTTTATGGAGGGAGGGTGTGGGTTGGCAAGGGGGGGGCAAAAAGGAATTGAGGTAGGGGTTGAAAGTTATTAGAACTCTTTCCAAATGAAGTTTGCTTGTTTAAAGACATGTGTGCCTTTGTGTACCCATTATAAAGTGACTCAAGAATAGATAAGCCTTGTTTTTCTTGCTTTACTAAATTTCCATCCACGAAGCTGCAAGATAACTTTTCTTTTTTAATTAAAAATAAATCTTTTTAAAAAGATCTGGAATTTTGTTTCTTCTGGAGAGTCTATTTAGTCCTTTCTGAATGTGCTGGTGTGGAAGGAGAACCAGAGAACCTGATGGTGGGCCAGGCTATTGTTTGCTGACAGCCTTGGAGATTGTAGCTCTGAGATAGCAAGGGACAAGTATATTGGGCACACCTCCCACCTGGCCTCCCAAGGTGGCTTCACAGTCAACTGCAGCCACTATTTATTTTGGAGTTCAGTTAAAAAAATTTTTACCTTTTTGAAGAGGAAATACATTTATGTCCTTCAAAAGTCAGAACTCTCTAAACATCTTTGCTTTACCATGACCTCTCCACTCTACTGTGTCCCACTCCCTATGGATAATGATTTTTATTGATCTCTTGTTTTTTCTTCCAGTATCTTTGTGGTGGTGGTGTTTTTCTCCTTTAAATTTTAAAATAAAAGTTCTCCCCATGGTTCACCTTCACCAGCTGCTTTGCAGGAGAAGGATGGGCACTTGCGTCTTGTGCGAGACCCGAAGAGCCCCCCCCCCCACCACCACCACCATCACCACTCCCTTATCACAAGCAGAGTCTTGTCTTCTGTTGACATTTCATCCCTGGTTTTAAGGGTTTATTACATTTGCTGTAAGATGATGATGCAGTTCCATGTTTCTCTGTGTGGGGGTTGTGCTCCTCTGCTGATGTAAAAGTTGGCAGTTCAGATCTATCCAACAGTGCTGTGAGAGAAAGGCCTGATGCCCTTCCTTAAAGATGATCATGAAGAAACCCCACAGAGTGCCTCCAGGCCGTAACCCACAGGCTGCCATGTGTTGGAATTAGATGGAGGGGATTAACAGTTATTGGTTAAGAGCCAGCTATTTCTAATCTATTATTTGAAAAATGCTCAGATAAATTTCCTTGTATTCAAATATTGGACCAAATTGAAAAATGCTCAGATAAATTTCCTTGTATTCAAATACTGGACCAAATTGAATTTTATTTCCCTGGAGACAGATTGTAAGAATGGGATGTTCCAATTTGTAGGAATAAGCTTTCCTAGGGCTCTAACCCCTAATTGTCTGAGTTGATCCCATCTCACTGTGGCACACCCTTAGCCTAGGTTTCCTAGACTGGGAGCCTCATCCATCTCCTGAAGAGTGACTGGTGAATTAGAACTAACAACCTTTAGGTGAGCAGCCTGACACTTGATGCTACCAGAGCTCCTTATGGCACTTTGGAATTTATTAAATAGTCCTTTGGATGATGGGCTTTGAAACTACGAATAAAAAGTTTCTTGGCTACTTGTGTGTCCCAAATGGCACAAAGTGTTTGCACTACTCACCTTCGAACCAAAAGGTTGGCAGTTTGAGTCTATGCAGTGGTACTATGGAAGAGAACCTTGGTGATGCACTTCCATAAAGATTATAGCCAAGCAAACCTAGGAAGCCATTGTACCTTGTAACACATGAGTTCCCTATGAGACAGATTTGACATGATGGCAAATAGCAACAGCAAAGCTTGGTGTGCTCTGTGATTTTAAATAACAAAAAGAATGAAGTCCTATGTTTTCTAAAATAGGAAAGGGGTAGACTGTAGACTTCCTAAAGGAGACCTGACCTAATGGGGTCACATTTGCAGCAGGGTCCTTGGGTATGTTGTGAGCTCCTGAAGACAGAAGGCCCATTTCATGGGCCACCATTGCATCGTTACTGCTGGATTGAGGGCGTGGAGAACATTGATAATAATGGCTTCATATAGGAAGTAAAACCTGTTCTGCAAAAAAAAATTGTATACTTCATTTCCAAGCTAAGCAGGAATGATCTGAGCAGGTCATCTGGCTATCTGCTTCTCCCCATACATGTGAACAAGCAGAATGTGACCATTGTTTTGAGTGTCCTGTGATGGTTTCTTCACTTCTTTTGCTACTGGAATCCACAGAGAAAATAACCTGTCTCTTAGCTCTTGTGAATAGACAAAGGAGGTAAGGACTTGGTCCCAGGGTATCAGTTTATGCAGACCATACCTCTCTAGGAGTGAAGTTCATTCCTCTATGTCCCCTTTCCAGCCCACCACACAGCGCCATTTATGACCTGTCTGCCAGCTGATGTCACAGCCAGCCAAAGGGTGCACACCGTGACAGCAGTGAATAGGCAGGGCTGGGCCAGCCTGATCTCACCCATAAGGAACTTCTCTATTCTACATGCCTTCTCCACAAAGGTCCATTATCCGGGCAGTGTTTTCTACATCATGTGCTTTCCTTGGGTGTCTATCCTCCACAAACAAAGGTGCCATGGTGTTCCTGCAATGTTTCATACTTCCAGCCCTTAGTCCTTGGCCTTCACCTTGGGTATTGTTTCTTGCTGCCGGGATTGAACAGCATGTAAAAATTATTTCCCTAGAAAGTCTCTCCTTTTGTTTTTGAAACCCAAGACCAGCTACCTACCCCAGCAGGTCCTGGGCCTGCCCTGGAGCCTCATCTGCTCAGAGCCTGGAGGTTGGTCAAAGGGTAGGCCTGTATGCATGGGTGGGTTCTATCCCAGCCCTACTCCCCCACCTCCACCTTCCTATCTTCTTGACAATTACCAAGATTTCTTACTGACTTTCAGAAACTAATTTTATAAGCTTCCTGTGTAGCATGGTGAATAGAGAGCAACCCCGAGAAGGGTGTTGAGCAAGGTTCCTCAGTAACTTCTAACACTCAATTTCATCACTGTCTTATGTACATGAAGTCCCAGGATCTTCCCAACTTTCGTTCTCCCCATAACCACCTGCCGGTGCAGTCTTGCTAACCAAATTCCCTCACTCCTGGTATCCAGAACAGTGGCCCCAAGGGACTTGGCTTATTTTGGGATCCAGTTACCTGCTGCTTTCCATAGTTTCATAGAGAAGAAGAGCAAAGACCAGTGCTCTGGACTCTCTGTGTAGAACTGTGAAGCACGTGGAACACAGACAATCCTCTCTGTTAGTGGCTACACTTGGAGACCTGAGAGCCCTTTGATGTATGCTGTGCTCCTCAGGATGTGAAGTGGACCAGACCCACAACAAGGTTAACTAATTACCATTGATCTCTGCCTATTATTACCTGTCTTTTCGAGTCTTTACTGAATCTTTCCTATTCCTTCATCCACTCAAATCTGCTCCCTCCCTCGGTCCCTTTCCTACATAAGGATTTGGAGGAGCTGAAGCCTCTTTTCCCCAACCCTGTCCTTGCCAGGCTGCACAAAGTGGGGCCCTGACTGGGATATCTGTGCCTCTAGGAATACTACTCCCACAGTTTGTGTCACATATATTGGCACACAGCCTTCCTGGAGTCTCAACAAGTGTCTAGACCTAGGGGTCTAGTGATGACTTAGTGTTCTGTGTCCCTGTGCCTGCTGTGGAGCTCAGGCCCACAGCTCAGCCCTGGATGGAGACACACATCTGCCATCAAGTGAATCCTGACTCTGGCAACCCTCTGCACGACCCTGTAGTTTTTCCTGGGCTGTAACTCTTAAAGGGAGGACACTCTCAAAGCAACAAACATTCAACCTACGACTCACCCAGCATGCCCGAGTGTTAGCAGCCCAACTCATTGCTGACTGCTTCATCAGGGCAGACCTTGATAGACTCAGTAACCAAGTGTGTCTGAAGAGCACTGGGCCTCAAACTGGTCTGAACACAACCACCAGGCTGCAGCTTTCAAAACCCAAGCCCATGACTTATAAATGAATCCCAATTGCAGCAACACTGTAGGACAGAGTAGAACTGCTTCCTATGCTGTCAGTCTTTACAGAGGCAGACTGCCCCATCATTCTCCTACAGAGAAGCTGCTAGGTTTGAACCACCAAGTTTTAGATTGCCAGTCCAGCCCTTTAGCCTATGAACCACCAGGACTCTTGACAGAAGCTGAGCTGTAAATGGGCTTAATTTTACATTTTTTCCCAGGGCCTGGTCTGTTCTAGAAGTTTCTTCAAAAAGAGAACTGGAATTCTCCTAGCTCTTTCTCCCCTCCCCTCCACAAGGTACTCCAGAGCTTGTCTGCCCTTCTCACAACCTTTCGGCTTCATTGCACTCAGCCTTGCCCTACACCCCTGACTGGGCCTGGAAGCAGACTGCAGGACACAGAGCTCCCTCCTCTGTCCCAAGCAAGTGTGCCTGACTGTCCACTCAGCAAGAAATAAGGAGGTACTTGGCACTCACCTGGCCTCTTTGATCTGTACAGAGTCCCCCAAAGGAGTTCTCCTCAATCTTTCTCTTGGTTTCATTGGGATTTTCTATAGGATCTGCCTGAGTCTTGTTGGGTTTTGTTGGTTGTTGTTTTCTTTAAATTGTTATTTGAATAAAAATTTACAATGAAATTGGCTTTTCAT